ACATACCCCGCCACTTTTATAATTTTCTCATATAGTAGTATACTAGCAATCCAACTTAGAAGCGACGTTGAGGGAATTGGAAATTTACACACACAAAAGTGATATTAACAGCTATTGTGTACCAAATTATTGTGTACCAAATTATTCAGTAGGGTTTATGCTCGGCTATTATCTCAAATGCGCTAATTTTCAACAGAGTGGTTTTATATCCGCTACCACGCTTGCCGATTACAACCTCTAATTATAACGTGGTAGTCTGAATCTAGCCATCTAACTGGCTAACGCAAAGTCTTTTATCTTATACTATATCTGGCACTGGACCTGTGATCCTGACCCGAAACTGAATAAACTGGCTTAAAATATATAATAACTGAATCGAGATCACATATTGACTGTGAGGTGGTTTATAGTGTGTCAGCACAGACCCCCTATCACTGGTGATATCGAGGGGCTGTGGCCCGGGCGGGGGGGGGGGGTTACTTCCACATTAAGTGGGTAAGGGTGTGAAGCCCACCTCTCGTAAACCATACTCTCGTCTATACCATTTTTGTTCTATTTATATACCCACTTCTAAACACTAGTGTTTTCCGCGAAAAATAAAATACCCAGCTCCGTCACGGTCACAACTTTCGCAACCAGCGATGCATTTTATTTAGCTTTTTCCGGTCTCTGGCTTTGAATATAAGGACCTGAGAAAAAGTAAATAAATGCTACACACTTCTAAACCAAACCATTGATAAATGACGACCCACTTCTAAACAAAATAACTTGAAATGATACCCCAGTCGGGCGGCACATACCCGTATTGCACTTCTATGCAAGTAGCCCCCCCCCCGGGGGGGGGGCTATGGTTTCAAATTGCGGGTTTATGATCAGTTAATCAAAACAGGGAAACCGTCGAGTAGTAGTAATAATACAGTGTCTGGCAGAATATAGTTGCATTTGTACACATGTAGTTTCTTTGGGTCGAGAATTTCTCCTAATAAGATTCGCAGCTTGACACATTGAACGTGAATCAGATTCTAAACGAATAGGCGTACTGCCGTGTTTTCACTGCTGGCGGGACGTGTCTGCCAACACCAAAATGTAAAGCCAGCAACTGTACTCTGCTATAATACTCCAAAGTTACCGCGGGCGCAACTTAATTGCATACACCTAACTCCCTCACTCGAGGAACTTTGCAACATCCCCGGACACTTTTCTAGACACTCCAGTAATCTTTATAATCACAATAAGGTTCCGTACCAGCCAAAGTGACGTGGTATGCCTTTCATGCCTTTGATGTGTGGCCGCGACAGAGGAAGGGTAGTTGAATTATTCCATTGCTTTGTCGGTACATTAAATCATTGCTGTGTAACACTTGGAAGAAATCGAATACGAACATAAAACTGGGAATAAATATTAACAAGAAATGATAAATGTAAATTCCATGATTGGTAGTTTGTTGAGAGGTTGCTAATGGGTTTATATTAACAATATTAGCGTTGTGAGTGCTGCGTTTTACATTTCTTTCATAATGTCTTGTACCCGATGCCAGTTTGTAGAGTTTGCCAGAACACTCATCGCCCAGTTTTTTTTATGAAAAGAGAAAACTGGTGGTGAAAAGGTTAAGAACAACGTGTTTTGAATATTACTATTCACATGTGTTATCAAAATAGTCGCCAGGAATGTAGGAGATACTAAGTGTTCAAGTGCGTTAAAGTACAAGCGGCTTCCATCTTAAAGCGCGAGGGTCGTCACGTGCACATGCGCGGGAATTGAGTCACAAGCGACGATAACAACACACGCTAAAACGCAAAGGCTTGTGGGTAGACGCTTGTTTGTAAACAATAACACGCTATGGCCATCTGACGCATGCGCAGGTGACGACTCCCCGTTTAACAGTTTACTCAGTCTTAGCTTCACCATGGACTACCATAAATAGTAAGTCCATGGC